TTTTGGTGCTTTGATAGATGCAGGGAAGTGTAGAGAGCAGTCTAGAAAGAGGACTTTTGTTTGAATTTATCCTCCTGGACTCTGCCAATTGCCTCCTGGGTATTTGGTAGCTGAGTGGCACCCCCAGAGGGAAATAATACTGGGTCCTGGTCTCAGTTTCCCCCTTAAACTATTTAGACAAGAGAATAGGGGATACACTTGCTATTTAAAGGAACCAGGTTCTGGAGAGCAGACTATGCTAAAAGCCACTCCCTTCTCCTGCCGGGATTTCCCCTTTTAAAAATGCTTTGGGTAGTTCTGGCCACCTATTTTGGCTGATAGCTGGATGCTAATATGTCTTTAAGGAGCAACGGTGAGAGCAGCAGAGATAAACCCACTTCAGGATGTGAGCAGGCGCCCGAGCTGGCTAGTCCTGGCGCCGCCCTGTGAGGCCACCTTCCAGGGGCTCCTTCTTTTCACAGCTTTCTACGTCAGGAATCAGTTCATCTGTGTTCTTGGCATGAAGAATGATTCAGCGCCAACCTCTCAAGCTAATGCCCTCCCACCGTTGCTCTAATTCTGAGTTATTTTCTCCTCTGGGACTCTTGGTTGACTTAGTGGTTTCACTCAGCTCTTTCAAATGGACTTGATGGAAACTCTTTTCATCAGAAGCCAGGATGCAGCCCTCGGAGCCATGCTGGGATCGGTGCTGAGCAAACTCGAAGGCATGGCGGGGTTTGCTGGCAGTGGTCATCTCCATCAAACCCCAGTCCTGGCCTGAGTGAGGCTGGCGGAAACTCAGCCAGTCTCAGCTTTCATCACCCAGACTGAATGCATAACCAGCTCTCCCAGGAAGCAGGGGGATCAGGGGGGCAGCGGGGGTTTCCAGCCCCTGCCTGTGGCTTGGGTGGTCCTTATTAGGGCTGAGTGATAAAGAGGCCCCCGTGTGAGTAACTGCTGGTTACCTCCATCCCGGTGAAATCCCACCGCCCAGCGCAGCCCCAGCACCTCACACCTCCCTGAGCAAACAGGCTCTGAGGAAGTCCTGGCAGAAGAATCCGCAGCCCTGCTTGTACAAGGGTGGCTCATGGACCCTATACTTCACAGTCACTCACACCTGGGAGGCGCTTTGAAACACAGATTCCCAGGTCATGATTGCAGAGACTGATTTCGTAGGTCCACAGCGGCTGAAGGGAATCTGAGAGTGATGTCTCCAAGGCTGAGGGTAAAGGTGAGCCTGAGACCTTGACAGTGGGGCTGCATAGAGGCTGGCTCTAATGAGGCTGGGTCCCGGGCTGCACATGGGGTCAGGGCATGAGTCAGGTTTAGAGCCATCCCATCTGGCTCTTTCAAAGTCCACGGGAACCACAGGGTCTCCCTTGATTGTTGTTTCTTCAGTTCTCCTTCTGATCCCTTGGAGGTGGGCAGGGGGCTGTTTGAGATAAAAGGGAAGCCACATTCCTTCCATTATGAAGAGACAATAATACTATTGATGGTGAAAATGGCCAACACTTACAGAGTGTTTATTGTGTAGCCAGTGCGTGTTTAGTGCCTTACATGGGTTAGGATATTTGATCATTTTAGCAAGACTGTAGGAAAGTCTTATAATTTTATGCTCATGTCTTAAATGAGGACATTGAAACCTCAGGGGTTAAGAGTCCAGCCATCCACACCGTGGGGCATGGAGTGGGATGTGAGCCCAGCCGGTCTGGCTCCTGGTGGTGAATCATGCTCTCCTCCAGGTGGTCTGTAGGAATGTTCTGGCCCCAGCCCTCCCTCTCAGCCTTGCTCCGAGGTAGGAGGCTTGCGTGGCAGGGGCCTCTGTGTCACTAAACACCTGGATTACACATGAGGCCAGGTGGCGCCATCTGTCACAAGCTCACGGTGCAGTGAAGAGTTTTCCAGGATGCTGACCACTTTATCATCCTGATGACAAGTTCAAGGCTAGAAATAGAGGTGGGCTTTATCAACTTCCTGCTTTTCTATCACATATTAGCAAGAAATTTCTTCCTCAACCCCCACTGTAAACTGGGAATTAAAACAGATGTGGCTAGATTGACTGATATGCTCCCTTAAAACAGCCACATGGCCAGCAGTGCTGTGTCACCAAGATCAACAGATCAGCCTGCTACAGAACTTGCAGGGCCAGGTTGCCGAATGAAAATGCTTGTTCAAAAAAATCAGAGGAAAAGAACTGTTCAAGGTACTGAAACAGAAAGCTTTTTTCTTTCTCCAACTGTCTCTTTTGATCTGTCATAGTATTTTTCATTTCATATTTGATGTTATTTTAAGCAAAGAAAAAAGAAAATGATTTTAATTAATAACTTAAAATTATCAGCATAAATTTTACTCCTTGTCTTAATATTATCTAATGACAGTTTTAAATTCAAATATACGAGCATTTAACTGAGAGGCAGAATCACCAGAATCCCATGATTCGTGTTTCATAGCTCTTACGCGCATGTGTATTTGGTTTTTATCAGAACAGTGGAAATAATACACAAAACTAATGCTACAGTTTTCATTTCGCTTTTTGACATGTGTGCTTCCTACCAACCCCCACCCCCTTCTGCTGACTGATGAGAGAGGAAGGGCTGAAAGGAAATGGATCAGGGCTGTCTTTCCCTTTCTGCTGAGTCATCATTTGTGGGGGAAGCTGTTCGCTGAAACAGGGAAGTGTCCTGGGTAAGAAAGGCTATGAGTGGATTCCTTGGTCATTTTTGTTACTTTGAACACGACTGCCTTCTTTGAAGCAAGTCCTGGTCCAGATGAAAAAGTTTGCCTCTCCAGGTTGTTAGCGTCCCTGCTTACTCAGTTGAAGACATAACACTTACCTTGTATTCATTTTGAGTCCTCCTGAATGCCCGTGACCTCTCCAAAGTCTGACAGCAGAACACACATGCTCTGTTGACCTATCGAAACTCACTTACAAAATACAAGTTCAAAGAAAAATTCAGTAAGACACTCAAGACAGCAGCAACAGAGCATGAAACCAAATGCAAGGTCCTCCTCAACATAGGGCCCCATGGGACTGCCTGGGTTGTGTGTCCAGGAAGATAATCTGATAATCAATAAATATTCCAGCTAATTCAGAGGAAAAGAGTGAAAATTGGGGCAAAATCAGTCTGCATGCCTGCCCCCCTCCCTTTTTTGTATTTCCTGGAGGTGAAGGTCAAGATTGACATGAAGGGCACCTTAAAGGGGCCTCTTGAAGGTGAGGGGCTGTACCCTGCCCCATTCATCCTGCTCTGCTTGGAGAATTAGGGTCAGAGCTTGAACTTGGTGATGTGACTGTCAGGCTCCCAGGTGCAGACACTTGCAACCTTAGATCTTTCCTCCTCCGGAGATGACTGAGATTCACAAGTAAACCTGAGATCTTTGACCATCTGAAACTGGCATGGACCTTGTGATTTAAACTAATTAAAGTGGGTTTAGTGTAAGTAATAGAAAGCCTGTCTCAAAGTGGCTCAAATAATGAAAGATTTATCAGTTCATATCAAGGCAAAGTCCAGGAGTAGTTTAGCTTCGTGGGCGGTGTGATTCAGTGGGTGACAGATGCCACTGAGGAGCTGGTTGCTTGTTGCCTCTCCTCTTTGCCTCATTCTCAGGCCGGTTTCCCTTCGTGGTGGCAAGATGGTGACCAACAGCCCCCAGAGCACTTTGCTTCCTCTCCAATGTCCAGAGAGGGAGAGAAGCCTTGTTCCTGGAAATTCTATTGGAAGAGTGAGAAAGCTTTTTTCCTTTCTCTCAGTCAGTCTCCCTTTGAGTATCCTTGACCCCAGATGAGCCATGAGCCCATCTACCAACCAATAACACATCCAATGAGTGCAGCTCTGCCGGTAACTTAGGGCTAAACCTCATGGCTTTCTCCAAAGCCTGGGGGGGAGTCAGCTTGTGCTGGAGCACATAAACTGCATAGGAGAACGGGGCTGGGGGAAGGTGGGAGACCAGAACAAAGTGGAGTGGTTGCTTAGAGAGCACGGAGTGGACGCAGGAGGCTACAGCGCCATCCACCTCAGAGACTCTCTCTCCGCTCTCAGGGCTGGCATCAGGACCTAGCAGAAATCATAAATGTTGATGCTGTCTAAACTTTCAAAGTGGGAACAGGAGTATAGGCCTAACCAAAAGGCATTCAAATTCATAATAAAAAAATAATTGCTGGCCAAGCAAAACCTCTCTCTGCAGGGCATGTAACATACAGGGAAACCAAGAACCAACCAGGGGAGGTGACTGCCTGCTCGTCATGGGTGCCGTACACAGAGCTCCTGTGTGCGTCTGCTAACACACATTCCAGAAGAGGATAACAAGGCTTCGAGGAGGCCAGCTAATTCGCTCAAAGCCGCACGGCTCATGAGTGACAGCTAGGAGTGGGCCGCAGGTCTCTCTAATTCCCATGCCCCGTCCTTTCCCACCAGCAGAGGGTGAATTGGTGGCGTGAGCAGGAAGACCCCAAGTCAGTTCAGAGCTCTGCTCCACTGTGTATCAGTAGGAAGTTTTAGGAGACTGTCAAATATATGCTATGGGGCATATAACCAAATAAATGGAAAGGGAAAAAGGCCTCGTGAAGCAAATTCTGTAAGTGATCGAGCGAGCCGTCAGTGCACCGTGTGCAGGGAAGGCAAGAGCCATCTGCGGGGTTCTAGGCTCCCAGGAAGCCTGGGGTAGATCCTGCCTGGCAGCGTGAATGCCGGTGGCTCCTGGCAACTTGGCACTGGTAGAGCAGCAGCTTACAAACTCCTCTCCCAGAAGCTGGTCAGACTTCAGAGAGGTCGCATGGGAAATCTGGGCCTTAGAATTGGCAGCGTGATCAGAAGAGACAGTCAGCCCTCTCAGAGATGCAAGTCGTGGTTTGCCAACCCCCCCCCAACCCGACTCCTGTGGAAGCCCCAGGCAAGCGGTGACCTCCCGCTGCCATCTGCTGACTTGAGAGAAGGTCAGCCTTCACGGGATGTGTAAGTCAACTGCAGGGGAAAGGAAACAAGAGTCTCCGTGTTCTAACCCGGCGCCCCTCCTCCTTACAGCCTGCTTCATTGTTCTGCTCTTCACTTTCCTGGCGCTGCCGCTGTCCATGGCCTTCACAGGTGAGCTGGCTGCCGAGCTGCGGGGACCCCAGGTCAGCCACTGTGGCCACGGGACCAAGGCCCTGCAGCTTTAAATGTAAAATGTTTGCTGAGACTTGCTGGCCAGTCCGATGATTTTCAGACACATATTAGCTGCACAGAATTACTTGCTGAACGTTTTAAAAAGACATTTTAAAACATCCTGGGCCCTGCCCTGGCAAATACTGGTGCAGCATGTCTGGGGTAAGGACAGACATCTGCTTTTAAAAATCTGTCCCCAGACAATTCTGGTACGTCTTGCCCAGGTTGGGAGCCACCGGGCTAGTGATTTCCCAAGGACCCTTCCCAGCCCGCGTGTCCCCAGGTGGAAGCCTGTCATGAGAAATGTGAAAATGTATCCTGGGCCATGGTCAAGGCCAGTTGCCGTAGGTGTGATATTAAAAAGTGGGTGTTGGGGGAATTACTGCTTAATGGTTTTGGAGTTTCCATTTGGGGTGATGAAAACCTTTTGGAATAGATAGTGATGGCGGTTGTGCATGTTTGTGAGTGTAGTTAATGCTACTGAATTATACACTTAAAATGGTTAAAATGGCAACATATTTTGTTATGTCTGTCTTATCACAACAAAAATATTAAAACAATTAAACACATTAAATTAAATAATTCAAACAATTAAACAATTAAAACAAAGTAATTTTTAAACTTCCATAATATTGATTGCCCCCCCCCAAATCACTATGTCTGGTAGTTTTACCGATAGTATTAGGGAGAAATTCTAAAGCCTGAAGAGAGCAATTGTGATACTACAGGTCAGACGGGAAGGAAACGTGGTGGGAAAGTCAGTCCCAGGCAGTACACGAAGAACACAGAGGGGAGGACACTTCCATTGAATTTATTAGGATCCCTTTAAGCCATCTGTGCGTGGATTGACTCTCCTGTGAGCAGCAGCTGGTTCTCTTCACTAGGAATGAGCAGGTGTGTGAGTCGTTACTCATGTTCATCTCACAGCTGGGTTTTGAGTGGAAAGGCAGTTCCTATCCAACAACTTTGGCATCAAATATTTAAAGGTCTTTGTGTGAAAAGGTTGTCTTGAGACTTGGAAAGTATTTCCAGCTAATAATGGATTCAGCTGAACATCAGGGGTGTCTAGAAACATCTCCATAGGCTGATGATATTTGGTTTTACTCTGTTTGGAGCCCTGACTTTGTAGGTCTCTCTATACGTGGAAATTTTTATTAATTTCCATGGAAAATAACATAGTCATAGGAAAATGGTTTACTTCCTTTGTTTAAGTCCCAAGGCCTTTGTGGGAAGTAAAATATCAAATCAAAGCAAAAATTTTGTGTCATTTAAACAGAAGATGTTAGTTCTACAGTGAGAATCCCCTTTCTTGGGTTCTGCTGACAAACATGTTGGCCAGGGTAACTTAACTATGCTGCAGGAACAAGTCAGTCCCGGAATCTCAGTGGCTTACTACTATCAAGGTTTATTTCTCGCTCATGTGAATTCCAGTGTGGATCAAGGGCCTCTCCGGGGCTCCTCGAGTCAATGCGATGACATCACACTGTCAGCTGCTTCAGTCTTGAGCCCTGATCATCGCAGCCCTTGGAGTCCAGGTGGTCAAAGCAGGGGAGGAAAACAAGGATCATGCTGTTGCCAGAGAGTAGGTTCTTGCCTCGTGCAGGAAAGAATTCAAGAGCGAGGCATAGTAAAGTGCAAGCAGGTTTATTCAGGGAGATACACGCTCCACAGCAGAGGGCGGTTCATCTGACTCAGAAGGGAGAGCCGCTTAGGAGATACACACTCCATTGGCAGAATGTGGACCATCTCAAAAGGTAAGAGGGAGAGAGACCGAGAGGTGTAGGGTGTTTAGTTTGAAGTAAAAGTACACACTTCACAGACAGAGTGCCAGCATCTCAGGAGGCAAGAGGGAGAGCCACCATGAGGTGCAGAGTTGTTAGTTTTAGGGCTGGTTAATTGCACATGCTAATGAGCAGGAAGATTACTTCAACTACTATGGGGAAGGGGCAGGGATTTCCAGGAATTGGGCCCCCACCTACTTTTTGTCCTTTCGTGGTCAGCCTAGGACCTGTCATGACACCTGTGGGCGCACCATGAGGCTCAAGGTCTACTGGAAGTCGAATCTTCCGCCACCTTGGTTCTAACCAGTTCGTCCTGTCCTCAATTTCTGTGTCATTCCTTCAGTGGTTGTGCCCTGCCCACTTCCCTCCTGTCTCAATGGGTCAGTTTTTAAATGCTTTGGCCCCAAAGTATTCCACAGCCCATTGGCTGGAACTCGTCCCACAGCCCTGGGTCCCCATAAGGGACTGGGAAAAGGAGGGGCATGTCCTGAATCGTCAGTGTCACTGCATAGCCAAGACATGTGCTAGGACCCACCCGAAGCCTGGTCATTTGAACCAGATTGGTCACTGAGGGAGATAGGCATTTCTTTCTTAGATTTTAAATAATATATCATGTCACCATTGGTTAAATATGCCTAGAGACAAGGACCTGAGAGAAGGAGATAAAGCATTGCTATAGGGAGAAAAATTTCTCTAAGAAAGGCTGTGTGTCTGGGGCAATGGATATGATAGTTTTCCAATATGGTGGCTAAGGATACGTCAGCAAACACCTGTCCCAGCTTGGGGTCAGCTGAGTAAATTGGTCACTGGAGACGAATACAGCAGAGGGTTTGCACATGGAGGAAAGGTTCCCTGCTGGCTCCTCTCTGCCCCGTGGACCCTGGAAGTGAAGTAAATGGGGGCCTTCCATTAAACTGTGGATGCATTTTGGAAATGTGATCTTATTTAAGCAACTTGGATCTTAGTTAAGCATATCGCACACCTGGATGTTTAAACTGGATCCTTTGGTCATATGGATCCTTAAAGAGGAACTGGAAGCTTTGGTCAAATGAATCATTAAAAACATGGGTTGTCATACACTGGCTTTTCAAAAGAGCGAGCACACCTGTAACCAGTTAGTGCCCAGACGGTGCAGCGACGGCTGGTCCCAGCTCTGTCTGATGTTTGATGCACTGCCGTTCGGTCCACTAAGCATCCTGGAGATTGGGTGGCTCATGAGACTGAGCGGGCTCTCCAAGCAGGAGCTCAAGCTGCAGTTTGTGTGATTAATATTTTGGCTTTGGTAAATGTTTACTTCATTTTCCCAGCTGACACCGTGTTCTTGAATTTCTCGCAGTCTTTTGTTCTCTCCCCTTTGCAGGAATGAAGTTTTTGGAGGACTGTCCCATACAGCCCCTCATCCCTCTTTATTTGCTGGTGGGTGGGATCATCGGGGCCTTAAAGGTAAGACTATTTATCAGTTGTTTGTAGTTCTTGTTGGAATTTAACTCACAGGCATCCTTTGCTAGTTGGCTACTCACAGAACAGCTCCCCTCTAAGCGCAGGGGTGTTGAAATGGCGGGGCCGGGTGGATCCTGAGGCCACCGCAGAGACCTGGGTTTTTCCAGATGAGGAGTATTCACTCAGAGCCTCCCTCCTGCTGCCCTGAGTTCAAGGTGCCAAGCTGTGGCATTGGTCTGACAACCGCTGATACAGAGGAGTCGAAGACTGCCAATTAATCATACCATTGAATTCAGCCAGTGTAATCCCGGCCTTGGGCTGTGATTCTTTTGAAAAAGTTTCCTGTGGAGGGCAGTAGAGTTTGCATCTGGTTAAAATGTGTTTGATTTTAGCAGTTCTTATTTCTGTTTTTAACCACAGTTCCTAGTTCTCAACTGACTAGCATAGAATTCATCAGCTGCAGTCATCAACTGAACGTTCAACTCTGATGTTTGGGGGTGATGTTTGTCTCTCTGTGACTCTCAAGCGAATGTCAGTAGAGGGAGCTAATTGGCTCATGGGTTGTGCTGACATTTGTCGAAACAGGAAAAGTGATGGAAAAAGAAATACCAAGGTTCCCACATAACCTGCAATTAAGTTTTCAAAATCCCTGGCCCACAGAAATATCACACCTGCTGAAAGTGCCTTAGGTCTAAAACATCTTAGGTCTGCCTTCATTTATCAGTGACCCTTCCCAGCCATCTAAGCCCACTTCAAAGCTTTCTGTATCAAAAGCTAGAAAACACGCGTCCATTTTTCCAAACTGGTTTCATAAAAATGATGGGCTAACCCAAGAAAAAACAGAATGAAGAGTGTCATATATCAAATTTCATTTGGACCCACTGTCTGGTTTCTTTGTCAGCTTTCTTCTGATTCTTGAGTTCTTCAAAAGTGGCTAGCCAGTGGCGTTGATCACGATGTTGGTCTGAGACATCAGAGGAATGCCTTCAAGATGGCTATTCTCGTATACAATCAGTAGCACAAGCTCTATTCTGTCTTGGGAAACATGTCTGATTTGGAGCAAGTGTTTGGAGCCTTCTGTGTCTGAGATCACCTCACTATTAAATGCCCTCATCTTTTGGCGGTGGTCTTGTGGGCAGTGTTCTGGAATGTACAAATACATGTGATCCTTTCTGTTAACAACATCCCAGTGGGATATAGCGCCAAGGAAACCCAGAGGCTCTTGGATCAACAGGGCTGTGTATCCCCTGTGGCCCCACAGTGTTAGGGGAAAGCTCTGATGGACTGAATGCCATAGAGATGCCCAAAACAAGGGCAGAGTTTTCAACAGTAATTACCCCTGCCCCACCCTCTCTCACTAGACGATCTCATAATCAGGCTGTGAGGCAGAACTTTTCCTTTAGAGATGTGACTGTCCATGGGGTCTGCTCCTCTTAGTAACAGCGAATTTTTCCTTTATGAAAGCCAGCCCAGAACCCAAAGGTAATTTATTTTAATGAACAAGCCAGGGCCCTAATAAACAGCATTGATTTTTTTTTCCTGGCAATCTAAAACTGTTTGAAGCCAAATGAAATCTGTGTGCCCATCACAGCGAGGTAATACACAGTGAGTCCATAACCATTAGAGCAACAGCAAACAGGTTTCTAGAGTCCCCAGACAGAGAGGTTTCCTAGTGAGGCCAGTGTTTTCTATTTAACCCCCTCAGAACATTGCATAGTGATGTCCGGCATCCTTTCTGCAGTGCATCCGTGGTACCACCGTACTGCGCTTTATTGAAGAGAAAGTGGAGAAGGAGTGAGTGGACATTTCCCAGGGTTACCTAAGAGAACTGACAGTCATGACTCATTGAAAGAGCATGAAATGAATTTAGTTAGGTTGTGACCACTTAAAAAACAGAATAGACAACACTGGAGTGCCTATCAAGTCTTATGTGATGCACAAGGGGAAGTTGACCATGTAATTTATTCATCCCAACTGGGACACTTTTGGGTGTACAAGGAGGGTGCTAATAATAATCATGCAGCAAACACAGCATAAACCAGGACTTCTCTGAGCCCGTGAGGATACACTGTTGCCAAATTACTAGCCCATGATGTAAAGTGCACTTGTTATTGGAGGCTGTGTTGGAAGAAAGTTCCCAGAACACTGATTTAGCGGCCGTCTATCTACCTCACCCTCCACCTCATCTTCCAAGATCCCACTTCTTAGTGATAATTGCTGCCACCCCATGAGGTGCTGTCTAAGGGTCTGGCCCCCATTATGAACTCATTCAGTCCTTCCAACACCCCTTTGAGGCAGGTACTTCTATCAGAAAGGACTTTTTGAATATAAGGAACAAAAAATCAGCTCTGGCTAACCTAAGAGGTGATTATTAGAAGAACTCACAATGCCAAAGATTGATGGAAGAGGAAGGGACCAGAGAGCCTGTTCCAGAAAGCTTGGGCAGTAGGACCCGGACAGTTGCTCCTGGACCAGCTGTGAAATAACTTAACCCCAGAGAGCTCCTCTCTCCTGATGTCACGTGCCCATGGACCAGTCCCGGTCCCTAGACCTTGGGTGCCAGACTGCTCCTGGTGTGCCCAGAGCATGGGGAAGAACCCCCAGGAGGGCAGGCCCTGGGATTCACTCTCCTTACACATCCCCCCAGGGGATGGGGCCCTGCCAGGAAGGGAAGTGGTGCTGAGTACCTACACCTGAGCTGTGCTGTCAGCTCCAGCTTACAAGTGAGAAAACTGAGGCGCAGGGGTGGTTTCTGTTGGGTTTTACTCACATGGAGTAAATGGCAGAGCTTGCGTGCAGCCCACGCCTGCCCGACTCCCCAGTCCTCCTCGGCCACCCTGCTCTTTCCAGTCGGTTTTCTCCTCTTCCCTGAACCCACCACCCTTCACCTTTGCCAGGCCGCTTGCATTCCAAGGGGGTTCCCCTTCCCACTTCTCCCTGTTCACAGGGGTCTAGAATATACCCCCTCTTCCAGGAAGCCCTCCCTGGATGAGTCATCTCTACCTTCCATACTGTTGGAATGGCCAGCCTGGGGCTTCTCTGTTCCTTTGTTTCTAAAGTGAAGAAAGTGATACGCATTCCATAGGGTCGTTTTAAATAAGGCAACATACCTAACAGAACTTTGTACCTGTGCTAGTCAGCTCGGGCTGCCGTAACAAGATGCTACAGACCAAGCCACTTAAACAACTGACATTTGGTCGGGGGAGGGAGGAGGGCACTTCCAGCTGACGACCACATCCGGGGGTGGTCATGGGAGGAGGAAGGGCAGGTCCCTGGGGTCAGAGAGGCCAGGGAACTGACCTCAAGGCCAAGGAAGCAAACCAGAGCAATCATGAAACTCTGGATGCAGGGATGACTTTCAGTCAATGAATCCCTTGTCCAAAGCAACTGACACATCTGAAAAAAAAAAAAAAGCCACAAGGATGCTAAGGACTGATGCCTTCATTCTTGCCAGTTCTAACTCTTCAAAATGAAATTTCACTCCTTGGCGGCATTTCCAACTGCAGAGGGTGCACTTTTCATAGTAAATCTCCCCCTCTGTCTCTCTCCTCCCTCCCCAACTTTGCCGCTGTGCCCTCCAACCTGGCTGCCACACAACCCAGGTGTCTCTCCTGCTGTACGACTCCACCCGGATGAGGCGGCTTCTGTCCAAGGCCGT